GAAATATCTTCGGTTGAAGATGAGGTTAAGTTGTCCCTGGGCTTTAAGTGATGTATCACCACGTCATCAAGACGTGTGTGGGCGTGGAGTTATAGCTCTACAAGTCTTAACCCCGGCTCTAGACAGAGATGAATGACTGCAGTCTGCAACCACCTGCTCATGCTGGGTCCTCGCTCGCGGATTTTTATACCCTGAAGATGGAGGCGATGTGTTTCTCCAAAACGTCAGTTTACACAATACCTACATGGTACCACACCCAAGAAGACGACATTCTTCAAGAATTAAACCGAACGTTCCATTGCAAAGAACTAGATTTATGGAAAATTTACAGTTGTCAATACTAAATATTTCGTTAGATAATGGTTGCAAATAAATCGATCGTCTTAAGAATTCATAACAGAAATCTGATGTATAAATTATTGAATCACATTATTGTATAGTCTGACATTTCCTCTGGTCCTGCACTCTCTTGGACAAATCACCTTTCGTCCCTAAGACCCATGGTTCAGACATCGGCACCCAAAACCACTACTCTTGGGATCTCACCTTAATACAACCACATTCAAACGCCAGTTATAGCTTGCATACAGCCTTAGCTTTGAGTCTAAGTGCGAAGTAATGACAGGAACACTTCTGAATGTCCTTACCTTCATGCTGGCATCATGTCACGCCCATCTCTTCCTGCTACATCCTGCCCCGTAAGTCCAGATGTTCTCCTTGTAACCCTGTACTCATTCTCTTTCTTCGTTCTTCCGGTAATATGAGAGGCCAAATTGCACACTTCCGGAAACAACAGGTGCAATTCTGCTTTAGTGTGTTTTAATCTTGACGTTGCTACCAAGGAGGAAAGAGCTTAAAGGATTCCGATTTAATTAGTGATTCTAAATTTTGTAAATCATCAAGAGTGAAATAATTATTTGTAGTTCCGACCTGTAGGTTGTTAATAAGTCCAATTACCAATCTGAACCCGCCTCTTAGTCACTGTGACAAGCCAAAAAACTTTTGTTATTTGTTTCTGGTTTATGTAACGGCGCCGGTTATGGTAGCTGGGCGGTCTGAGGCATGCACTGCCTTCGCTCGCTCAGAAGCCGGGATCATGAGTTCGATTTCCACACAAGGCATGAATGTTTCGTATGTGTATGTATTTATTCTGTGTCTGTGTTGTCCTGTGTTTAGGCAGAGGCCTTGGGACGACCTGATCACTCCCCCATGGAGTCCCACCGTCTGTAAAATGATCAAGATGAAAAAAACAAACCTCGACACCGTAAGAGCATAAGAGGAACGGATTAAGTAAGTTTTGTAACGGCGCTTTCCATAGCTCAGATAATGAGCGTGGAATGATGGGATGGATAGTAAATAATGAATTGGACGCGATATGCAATGAAACGACCGTGATTTAATTTTTTGTACTATCCAGATAGTAATCTGGATGAACTAAGGAAAGACACGAAATCCTGTTGGATAGAAACAGAGACATGAACCCGAAACCTCCTGAATAAGAAGCAGAAGCGCTACGTGTTCAACCGCCTCGTTCGGTGACCTGATCTCGTTGTTAATTTCAGCACTGTTGATGAACAGCAACCAGTTCGGTTCTGTAAAATGAGAAGTTCAAGGCTGTCCGATCTCTAGTCTCTTGTGTGTTGCCCCAATGAGGACGTTCTCATGGAACTGATGGTCCAATGCGGAATTTGTTGTAGACACATTAGAGACCGTCTCATGGAACTGACGGTCCAATGTGGAATTTGTTGTAGACACATTAGAGACCTTCTCATGGAACTGACGGTCCAATGCGGAATTTGTTGTAGACACATTAGAGACCGTCTCATGGAACTGACGGTCCGATTTTGAATTTGTTGTAGACACACTAGAGACCGTCTCATGGAACTGACGGTCCAATATTGAATTTGTTGTAGACACATTAGAGACCGTCTCATGGAACTGACGGTCCAATATTGAATTTGTTGTAGACACATTAGAGACCGTCTCATGGAACTGACGGTCCAATGCGCAAGTTGTTCGTAGACACAGTACGACCTTCTCAAAGTAATACTTAACAGTCTTGACTTTAATATTTCAATCTCTGCTCTCAATTTGCCCTGTGTTAAATTTTCTGGTTTTGTAAGAAGCGAATTTCTAACTTGTTGTACAGGAGCGTTAATGTCATTGCGTTGCTTACTGCTGTTTCGTTGTTGTTCTTAGCCTACGTATATGCCTTTTTACATGCTGAACGTTGGTAATGATATTAAAACAAATTCCAGTCAGAGACAAACTCGTATGCTGTTTGTGAAAGACAGTGTCTCCACAAAAATAATAGAATTTCGGACACGTAATATTACGATAGACATGACCAAACATGTTGAAGGTTCTACATTAAATATACTTCGCTCACAACCTGCTGGAAATATTAAAGTTTCAAAATTTAGATACGAGTATTTAGAATTTAAAATATCTTAAGATATTTNGGTGGGAAGCCAGTGACTAACCGCTTGAGCTATGCCGCGGTCAAAGTAACCACTTAACCGACGAAGAAGAAGACTGGAAATGATATTAATATGGATGCATTACAAACAAATGCTCTGCGTTTTATTGATATGTATTGAATGGATCTAAATACTAGTATGTTACTGAAGGAAAAAACTCCACTCGCATTCGTGTGTATGTTTGTACCCCTTAGATGCTTAGATTCTTCCTAGATTTCACCCCAATAGTAAAGTAGTTACTACACATTCTGTGCTGAATATAACACCGTTCCATGTCTAGAAGTACTGTTTGCTTCCTTCCTGCCCTTGTACGAGGGGTATCAGGAAAGTAAAGACAGAAATCCAGTAAAAATGCAGGGGACATGTTCCCCCCCCCCCCCAAAAAAAATGACAGTGCTGCTGTATGAGATAGGAACTGTTTGATAGGGCTGAGTTTACAGTCACGGCAACGTTGAATTCGCAGTGTGTGTTTAAAATTGCCTTGTCGATTCAAAATCCCGCCAAATGGGAGGTTCGGCAGTAATTCCATGTGTTCAGTGCTGCTGAAATTCATCGCCAACTTGTTTCTGTTTACGGCGATGATGTTATGAACAGTAAAAAACTAAGGCCATTCGTTGTCACTGTTGAAATCATCCAAAAGATTGATGAAAACTTTCGTGCTGGCGGAAGTTTAACCATCGATGAACTTCATCAACAGTGTCCAGAAGTGTCGAGAACTGTTCTTCGTGGCTAACAGAGCAGGCGGGAGATTTCTACGAAGCTGGAATAATAATAATAAAAAAAGAAATCATTCCCAGACTAACGAAGTGCATTGCGATCCATGGTGACTATGTTGGAAAGTAAATAAAACTGTGTTGTAAAAATGCTTTGGAAATATTTACTGTATCTTTACTTTCCGGATATTATTCGTATATTTAATTTTGTGTAATGCAGGGCTGATGCTTCGAACTCCAAACGAAGGCCATGCGTATGAAAATGGGATTATTCTGTACACAATGAAGATATAAGCCGTGTCAATATGGACTGAACTTCTAATGTTTCGGAGACTGTTTCGGAATTCGTCATCAGGGATGGATGTGCTCAGACTTCGTTGCATTCATTCGTAGTGAAATCCAAACCTTTGTTGGGCATATTTTATCCGTTCGTCTCTCTAAGAATGAACCTGAAGGAACGAGAAGTAGAATGTAGTACCTTGAAGAATGTTTTATATGATTAAAAATGTGATTAAAGGAAGATGACAACTTCAAAATGAAACGAAACAATAATAATAATAATAAATTGAGAAGGTTAGAAATCTTTGCACCAAAGAAGCAGGAGCCGAACTCTTCTTATACATTTCGTTAACTGCATTCTGGGAACGAATACAAGCTTTTTGTACAAAATTTGTCTGATTTCTTGACTCTTACTACACATGCGCGACGGAAACCTACTCCAGACCCTTCACATTTCTTTAAGTTTACACCGTTCTGTCGGAGTAAGCCGATTTAAGCGGTAAGATTTCCGAGTATTATTTAGGAGGTTCTCGATTCGAATCCCAGCTAGGCACAGGCTTTCCTGACTGAAGTTTTTCGTGATTTCCATTCAGCCCTTCCCTGCTAATTCCGAGAGAGTACCTTACATTAGGCCACGTCTTACCACGTATTTTACAATACACCGTTCACTGTCATCACCAATTCGTTCGACGCAACACGGCACGGTCTACGTAACTAGGTAAACTAGAGATGAACAAACGTAAACTGAGTGTTGTTTGTGACGGTAAAATTGTCCCTCTTCTTAATTAATTAAGCATCACAGCTGTACGAGTGGAGGAGTGGAAGTATAACTGAAGAATTCTTGGCCTTGTCACTAGATGGAAATGAGTGGTCAGCTACTCGCCTCGGCCGCTTCACCCTCGGGAATATCGCTTCCTGTACCCATTGCGTGGGAGGCTGGGTGGAGTCCAGAGTAGGTCTCGGCACTGTCGAGTAGATAAAAAGCTGGTTCTTCTGGCGGGAATCGAACTCCGTCCTTAACCAGTCGCTATACCGACCGAGTTATCTCGATTCAAAGTACTTCTTTTGGCTTGTTTTGGACTTCATCCATCGTCTGGTATGTAAAATGCAAAAGACCACGACGTTTCGGAGACTGCATCTGTCTCCGTCCTCAGGTGGGTGGGGCAGGATAAACCTACTCAGTTGGGCCCGTTAGAAAGAGCTAGTCTCAATCATTGGTCCAGTGAGTAGGTTTATCCTTCCCCACCCACCTGAAGACGGAGACACATCCAGTCTCCGAAACGCCGTGGTCTTTTGTCTTTTACATACCAGACGATGGATGAAGTCCAAAACAAGCCAAAGAAGTACAGTATACACCATCGTTGATACACCATATGTTGATGAGAATAAAAAAGGTTCACTTTTGTTAGTTAAATTTCCTTCTGCAGTTTTAATACAGGATAAGAATACCTGGAACTGTACTTATGTAATTGAAAAAAAGCGTGTTATGTATATTTGGTGTCTCATTGTATACGTTATACTGTTACAGGCAGCTGTTGGCTCCGAACCTGGTGCAGAAACATTTCCTTGCCAGCGGAGCGGAGCAAGTGTCTAAACAGGTAAAGTACAGCAGAGACACCTAGCTAAGTAAGAACTAACAAGTTACTTTATACTGCAATGAACGGGTCTACATGTTCCCTTATCGTACGAGGAAGTACCACACCCATAAAACAGAAATGTAACTTAGAAACTTTATACGTTTTAAGATGTGATATATTTACCAAATTTGTATCTAAACATAGTTGAAACATCTTCCAACTGAGTGAAAAAATGAAGAAATATTATTTTGTCTTATTTGGATAGATATTGATGGGGGAGAAGAGGAATGCATATAGGATATTGGTGGGAAAGCCAGAAGGAAAGAGACCACTGGGAAGACCAAGGCGTAGGTGGGTGGACAATATTAAAATGGTTCTTAGAGAGGTAGCATGGGATGATACGGATTGAATTGATCTGGCTCAGGATAGGAACCAGTGGAGGGCTCTTGTGAACACGGTAATGAACCCTCGTGTTTCATAAAACACTGGGAAATTTTTGAGTAGCTCCACAAATGGTGGCTTCTCAAGAAGAGCTCAGCTCCATTGATCGAGTCATGTCCGTAAATCTGTAGGCCTACATGACGTACAACATTTGTGTCGCTATTGTACGTACACGAATACCGTCTGAAACACTTTTCGGCTCGATACATCTTACTTTCTTGCTTTTTCCGGCTTCCTGCATCGGACCTAATGGAGAACACTGAAAGTCTTTTTGCAATTGACCCCGTTCTGTCCCTAATATGTACGGTGGCCACGGATTTTGACGCGATGTGCAGGAATTTCGATAGTACTTCTGAATGAGATTCAGTATTTCTACTTACGTGAATACGTTTTAAATTTTAAATTTAAATAATCATTCCTTCTTTAGACTTTTAACTACCATGCATGCTGATATGCCAATAGAATCAACGGTATCTTGGGCAAGGGCCGGGCAGTCCTGCTTCTATGTAATGAGATTAACCAACTGCATGAAGCCGAGTCCTTCTTGAGAAGGCACCAGTCGTTAATCTGCTCAAGATTTTCCCAAAATTTTATGGAACCTGAAGGTTTATTACCGTGTTCACAAGAGCACACCATTGGTGATCACTCTAATCCAGATTAATCCAATCCATTCCATCCCACTCTGTTTCTGTAAGATCCATTTTATTATTATTTTACCACTGCCTGTATATCTTCCTATTACTTTCATTCTTCTGGTTTTGCTATGAACAATCTCTCTGAATTTCTGTTCTTCCCATGCTTGCTACATACACTGCCATCTCATCATTCTTGAATTAATTATTCTAATGATATTTGTCAAAGGGTACAAATTATGAAATAACATGGTGATATATTTACTGGTATTGTTTGGTGTGATCATTAAGAGCATGAAAATATAATTTCAGCGTTAAATAATCCATTACGACCGATTAATGTTGAATTCGTATTTCGTATTTTAACTCTTGTTAATAATCTCTGAATCAGAATTTCATCAAAACCCGAGAGCCAAGGAAAGTAAAAAGGTACAGAGAAACAGACTGGTTTTTAAGGCTTTCTTGGTAGGAATAGCAGATAATACAGAAGCTTTTACGAATATAAATGTTTCTGTTAAATTAAGTGAAGAATTACTCTCGATGCACGTCACTGTACCCGTGGAGGGAACTAATTCTGAGACTCAGAAATGGAGGCGTACCTTACCGCAGGCATCTGCCTGTAACCGGCGGTTTGCATGGGAACGTACTCTCTGCTTCATGGCGAGAAGCCCAAGTGGAGAGGACTCTAAGTGCTAACATAAATTAAAAGGAAACTTTTACGAGGCAAGAAAGTCGTAAAAAACAATCGCTGCAACACTTGCTTCTCATGTTCTCTACATGGTACGTGCTCAAATTGAAGCCGAAAGCCTTGTGTTTCTTAACAGTGACCTACAGGTTTGCCGTAAGACTAAAGAGCCTTGTCGTAATTTTCTTATCTCACTTAAATCTACGTACTATGCATGAGATGAGTGAGGATCGTGAAAACGTATATGTCGATATTTTAACAAATTTTGGTCAGGATAGGATGCAGTGATGGGATTTTGTGTATACGGGTAATGAACTTCATGGATCCACCTCTTGCCGAGGTCAAGAATGGGGGGGGGGCTATGCGTTCACTTCTCAATAAGTCTTCATGGCATAGTGCTTAATTAATTAAACACAGGGACGACTTTACCGCTACCTAGTACGCAAGTAATGTCTTAACAAGCCGAGTAATCATTAACTCTCAAATGGGACTCTGTCCCATGGAATTAGTGCCTGCAGGATGTTAATTTCTACTACTTAATTCACTCTATTAATTCTAAAACTTTGTGTCAAGGCCTACACACTTTTATATTTACAACATTTAGCACAAAGAGAGTAGGGATAGGTCAGTCGGTGTAAGACGGGGTTAGGGGTTGACGGAAGGGGGTTAGATTCCCGGCAGGGCAATTCTCCTCTCCTCTCCACAGCGTCTGGACCGGCTCTGGGGCCCAACCAGTTGCCTGTCCTAATGGGAATAGCGAGCGATTTCCACGAAGACGAAACGGCCGAGTCGTGAAACTGATCACTCACCCTTATCTAGTGCCGAGCTGTGGTGTTATAGGCAATGCTACTTTGCTTTCACATCCCCCTTACCAAAGAATCCATTAACCTTTTTAGCTTACTTTCCTTATTTTGAACAAATAAAAGGGGGTTATGGGACCATCTTGCTATCTCTGTGCTAGGTAACGGCTCGGTAAACATGTTCCCCCGAAACAATAGAAGAAATGTTGGGCGAAGTGTTTTCTAAGAGGTCCAAGTATATAAAATACTCAGAATGTAGTGAACTGTCCTTTCTTTCTCTCTCTCCTGGGAAACAAGGCGCTATTTCTTCGCAGAACCTCTTGTTGTTTAGATACTTCATGCCCATCATGAGTCCCACCGGTAGCAATTTCCACTGAACTCCCAGAGACATTTCAGTAGTCGAACCAGTGGTGCATATAATTTAACACATGAATAAATGAATATTTGTTTCGATGTGCCACACGCAGTTAAATTCCCTGTGACACCTTTACCATTATTGCGTACAGTCTGTTTCTTGTACAGCAGATTTCGTTATACTATGCACAAATAACGATGCTGATTGGATTGAACTGGCTTAGGATATAAACCAGTCGACAGATTTAGTTTAAGACTGTTTGGATGCGTAAGGAGTATTTCACACATGGAATATATGAGAAATGCATACATAATTCTAGTGTGAAAACTTAAAGAAAATAGAACACTAGGAAGAATCTGGCTTAAAATGCATTTAAAGGAATGAGATGTGAGATTATGGGCTGGATTAGTCTTGTTCAACATAGGGTCAGGTGGTAGGTATGGTAATGAACAGAGAGATTCTATAAAAGGCGAGGAATTTCTTGACTAAATAAGTCACCGATAGCTTCTCAACAGAATATCTGCGCAATAGAGTTAGCTCTGTTGAAATTTCTGACTAATATTAGCGAACAAATAAGTTTAATGCATAAGAATCACCGATGACTTTGTTACGTGTATACCGGTACAATGCATTACTTTGCTAATCAACACAGTCTAGGAAATTATAACTTGATATTGTGGACACACAGATGTGATAGGAGCTACTTTTATCCAGTGTTCATGTGTACGGTTGGAATTATTAGGTCGATTCAAAAATCAAATGACGTTATTGGGAATCAAACCCACGATCTTCCTGTTTGTAATATAGTGCCTCAATCAACTACGCTACCGTGTAACAAATGTCAGATAGTAATTGAACGGTCACACGGTAGCGTAGTTGATTGAGGCACTATATTACAAACCGGAAGATCGTGGGTTTGATTCCCAATAAGCTCATTCGATTTTTCAATCGACCTAATAATTCCAACCGCACTATAGCCCTGTGTTCAACGCAACCTCTAACAGAAATAGGTACTGGAAATCTTCATGGGGGTAAAGGGCGGCAGAAGGGTAAGGCTAACCTCACCGCCATCTGTGAACCGATTGTATAGAAAATGTGGGAGCCTCGACGTCTCACAATCCTATGGGCCCCCACGACCTGTTACAGAGATAGCTTTACCTTTTTACCTTTTATAATGTATGTTAATTGAAAATGTGAAGTTATCTGCGATAAAAATACGAGTGCAAAAGGCAATACTGTTTTAAGGAAACATAGCTATAATATATTGTTCACGTTTTAGTCACTAGAAAAGGGGTTTGGATTGGTAAATGGATTTAATATACTCTTATGAATTATTGCGTTCTTGCTAATTCATAAACTCAACTTCACACTAGAGCACAAACCAATTATTATCAATTTTCCTTCAGTAACCGTTGCTCGGTTACGGTTAGCAACACTGTAGATTCCTGAGCTTCCATATTCGCTGTATCACAGCTAAATCATTACTCCAACTGTCGACTCTCAACTAACCGGTTCTGAACTGGCCACTGACTGGCTATGAGACCGTTATATAACTTCGGGTCGGACCTCACAGTCTCCAACATTTTATTTATTGTTACGTGTTTATTCGTTGCTTTGCAATGACTAACTTGTTTGATGATGTAGAGGATGTTTACAGTGCCATTGCCTAGCAGCGGATGACGTCTCTTGTTGAAATATTCGGTCATGTCACAATATGTAAATATAGCGTGGACCTCATTACTCTGGTAACTTCACGTACCGAACTAATTTATGGAAGAGAGACCTTCTTGAGAAGCTAATAGTCGTTTTGATAATCAAAAAATTCCCATCCTTTATGGAACTCAGAATTTCATTGTCCTTTTCACAAGAGTCGACCACTTGACCCTGTCCTGAACCGATGAGTCTAGTGCACGCCCCCACACTACCCTGTTTCTCTTTTTGCAAGATTCGTTTTACATGATCCTCCCATCTATGCCTAAGTCTCTTACAGAAGAAAACTTTCGTTATAGTGGCTTTCCTTTTTAATTGAGGTCATGTTACGAGAGATAAGAGGCTCTTTCATCCATTACGTCAAGGATCTCATTTTCCTCCTACCGTATAGTTTTTAT